AGCAGCGCTAAGGATGTCAGACTGCAGCTTAGGTCTGCTCCCCGCTGGCAAGTGGACATCCCCCGAGGGCTCCTGGGCTGCCAGAGGGATGTCTGACTGTCAGCTTAGGCCCAATCCCCCGGGGAGTGGGCCTAAGCCAGCAGGTGGTCATCCCCCAAGGGGTCCCAGACTGTGAGAGGGCACAGGCCGGGCTGAGGGACCCCTTCCCACCCCCCTCTGGTGCACAAATTTTTGTGCACCGGGCCTCTAGTTGAGATATAAATGGCACACAGCTCAAAATGAATTAATTTGTATCTAAGCAACTGAGTATAAAATTAAGTTCTCATTATTGCTGCTGTCGGGCTCTTAGCTACAGTGGGGCTTTGGGAAAGTGGACAGGATGGCTTCTGTCACTGCCTGGAGTTACTCAAAGTGAGTGTCCGCAGGAATTAGTAGTCGACCTTTCTGCGCTGGTCACTGGTGTCAGCCTGGCTGGGCCAGTCCCCTGCATCCCCCTATGCGAACCCAAGTGCTGCCAGGAAGGTTTGGGAGATATGATGAGGCCCATCGTCAGCTGACCTTTAGTAAGACAGGTCATCCTACACAATCCGGGGGGGGGCTGCCTGGGGCGGTGGAAAGCCCTTGGAGCAGACGGAGGCTCCCAGGGGGGAAATGCCTCCTGTGCACCGCTTCTGCTGTGCCCTCCACTATGGATTTGACTGGCCCCAGAGTTGCACTCAGTTTCCTAATACAGATCCTCTGCTGGTCCCGTTTCTCTGGTTGAACCCCGACTGACAAGCCTTCCAATTTGGGGTCCCCGGAATCTGGGGTGTCACTGAGTGGCAGGTACAATGTGGCATTTTCTGCTAAAGCACACATCTTTCCAGGGCACACAAAGCAAGTAACTACTGCGGGATTCCAAAGTAGAAGCTTACTGCTGTGGGAAGCAGGCATTCGTGTGGCCACAGATCTCTACTCAGCCCTACCATGTCCACATTGGAGAAGCTCAAATACCAGGAGCCAGTCGCTCACAAAGGCTTTCTGTAACGGTGATAACGGAAGCCCATCAGGGAGGTGTGCATGATGTTTTGGGGGTGGCAGCACCATTAAGTGCTAGGAGGTGCCGTGGGAGAGGGGACTGGGATGCTGCCAGCTGGTTACCTCTCCAGGGTAGAATTACCGAGCAGAGGTTGTCATCACTGTTCTGCTTAAACCTCCCCAGCAGTGGCCTCACTGCTAGGGCAGCTGAGTACGTATTTGGAATCACATGCACCCAGCCCACTCTCCTCATTTTACAAAGAAAAAGAAAAGAAATGGATGTTATCTCTAATGAATGACATCCTTTCTAATGAATAGTCTTTACAATGGGCTGCGTTGGATCTGCTAGCCTGGGGGGTAAACCTAGCTGGTCAATGAATTTTATTTAAATATTTTAAGGTTGTAAAACTCAAGGTATTTCTTGTAAAAATCCAGAATTCACCCCCCAGGCAGGTTTGGCTCAGTGGTTGAGTCAAGGTCACAGTTCAATTCCTGGTCAGGGCACATGCTCAGGTTGCGGGCTCATCTCCAGTAGGGGGCGTGCAGGAGGCACCGATCAATGATTCTCTCATCATTGGTATTTGTATTCCTCTCTCCCTCTCCCTTCCTCTCTGAAATCAATTAAAAGAAACACACACACACACCATAAAGGCATAGGCTCTGCAATCAGGCGACCCCATCATAAAAAGAAATATCCAGAATTCCAGGTTCTCTTGAAATGTAAAAAGCTGACCGCACCGGGCCCTTCCCACGCGGCTGCAGCCTCAGGTGCACCCGAGCTGGCCCCAGTGCCTGCCACTCTGTCCTCCCCAATAGGCTCTGGTCTGCAATTCGGATTTTCCCTAGTGGCCCTGAAGCATTGACAGCCCATCCCTGCTTTTCAACCAACTTTCAGGTCAGGAAATGGGCTTAAGGAGGGTCCGCAGGGGCAGGCATTCGGTGCCTGACGAAGCCGAGCCACCCCTGTGCTGGGGGACGCCCGCGCGGTCGGGCCGGGCCTGGCGTGGGGACCTGCACGACCCGGGGCCCTTCCATTGGAGTCCATCACTACCCCAGGCCACGGCCCACACTCAGGCCTGCGGCGGCCTCGGTTCCGCTCCCGACTAGTCCTGCACTCGCCAGCGCCCGGGTGGGTGGGCCCCCGCAGGTCCGGAGGCCTCTGTGTCCTCGTCCGTACGGTGGGCGGCGACACCTACCTCGCCGGGCTGGTGAGGCCCGAAAGGTCTCGGAGCTGGGGCCCTGCCCAGCCCGGCGCCGGCACTAGGAAGTCGCCCAGGCGGGCGGGGTCTCGCGATCCCAACCTGAGGCTGTGAGATACCGGAGCGACCGGCGGTGGGCGGACCCCTCACCACGTGGCCTGCGCTGCCATGGCGACGGCCCGCGCCAGGCCCGGGTACCACCACCTGCTGCCCCGCGGCACTCGCAGCTGGAGCTCGCGCATGCGCAACGACACCCAGGCCGCCGGGGCGCAGCCGCAGAGATGGGCCGAACCATTGAGCCAAGGGGGGGTGAGCCTTGGGGGGCGGGTAAGGAAGGTGGAGGGAGGATGAAAAGGGTAAGACAGGACCCAGAACCGGACTTGCCCCTTAGGGATCATGGCCGTAGAGTCCCTCAGGGACGCTGGGGTTGTCGCCGACCCAGCGCTGAGGTTCTACATGGTTTCTCACCCCCTCGGCCTGGAGGGGTGGGTGGGTCCGGAAGGGCGTAAGGACGTCAGGCGGGGGTTGCGCAGGCGCAGTGAGCGCGGCAGCATGGCGTCCCGACCCAAGCGGCGCGCCGTGGACGGGGGGACCCCCCAGACGCTCGGCGACCCTGTCCCGTGCCACGAGGAAGAAGAGGACGAGGAAGTGGAGGACGACGACGACGACGACGAAGATAGCGACGAGGAAGAGGATGAAGACGACGAGGTCGTGGGCGAGGTGAGCAGCACCCGCGACCCCAGTTGGGCTGCCAGCTGGGAGCGTGCTTTCTGGCAGCCACGGCCGATGAGTGTGCGAGGCGCCGGGCACAGCGACTCCCCTGCCCCCGAGGGGCTGCGGGCGGGGGCTTCGGGCGGCAAAGGGCTCACTCCGGTTCCATTCGGTCTCCCCGCTCCGCAGCTGCAGAATGACTCTCAAAAGTTACACCCGGCCGGGTCTCCCCCTTCTCCCCAAAGAAAAACCCTACACAGCGCTGGCTTTCAGGGACTTCATTTTTAAAAAGGTATATACTTGTATCATTGGTTTCGGAGTGTTATGCCCAGATTTCAAGACCCCCAAAGACACCACCAGGGAGCGCCAAGTCCGATGCAAGCCCGGGCTTGGTCCCCCTCTGCTTCCATTACTGGATGCGAGAGAGAGCCCGGAGTCCCAAGAGAACAAAGAATTTATAGGGCTTGGGGTGGCGGGGGTGGGGGGCACACTTGGACCACTGATTTGGCCAATTGCGGTTGGTTGAGTGAGGGCCGGGGGCTAGTGACGCAAGGGCAGGGTGCAGTTAGTTAGGGTCTGGTTACACAAAGACGGAGGTGTTCAGCATACTTTCGGCCTTGAGTTTGTTTTCCCTTGCATTCCCATTGGCTGAGATAAGAGCAGGCTGAGTAACTGATACATTCTATGGCTTTTGCTGGAAGAGGAGTTAGGAACACAGCTATCAGTCCTGTTCTGTCCTTTCAGGAGAGCAAGGTAGAGGGAGAGAAACGTCCATGATGAGAGAGAACCATGGATCGGCTGCCTCCTGCACGCCCCCCACTGGGGATGGAGCCCACAACCGGGCCTGTGCCCTGGCCGCGAATCCAACCGTGACCTCCAGGTTCCTAGGTGGATGCTCAGCCACAAAGGCCAGCCGGACAGGAGTTTGTTTAATATTTTAAAGGACGACATCCAGACCCGAGTCATGACAGTTTGCTATTTGGTTTAGTTTGCTGATCACATAATCCAGCTGAGCTGACTTCCGAGCCGGGGTCCAAGGCTGTGCAAGGACCTTGGGGTGAGTCAGCAGCCCCGGGTGCTTAAATCCGTGCCATCAGCAAGGACGGCACAGGTCAGTTTGCTTTTCCTCTGCCGTCTCCGCCAGCCCAGACCCACATCCCAGGACCCGCACAGCCGGAAGTGCGTGCAAGTGCACTTTTCACCAGAGCCCCGGGGTCCTCAGGGTCGATCCTGGGCAGCGTTTGAAAGCACCTCAGGTGTTGTTTGTGGTGTGAAGTGATCCTTTCATTTACTTGTTTGTGGGACATTTCAGTGGCGTTACCTCCTAGCTTGTGTCGTGGTGGTTTTGCAAATGCAGATCAGGGACCCAGCTACACGCCTGTCAGTCCCTGTACTCCTGCCCCAGAGCCTCCGCAGGTGCTGTTCCCCGGGCCAGGGCCTCTCCTGTCCTCGGTTCCCAGCTCAGATGTCGCTTGTCTGCCCTGACCCGTTTCCAAGCTGACACAACACCGTGTGCCGGGTCTTAAAGCTCGCGTAGGTGCAGCTGTACGTTGACTTGAGTATTTCCTCAATGTCTGTATTTCCGCCTACTTTCTGAAGGCAGGGCCCTTCAGTCCTCCCCTTTTCATCTGAGCCCGGCACAGTGCTTGGGAAGCGGTGGTACCAGGCGGCACCTATTTGCCAAGTGAAGGAAGCAGAGCCTCAGGCGCAGGCAGTGCAGGGGCTTGTGAAGTGAGCCTGTTGGTTGCTCCCCCTTCTTGCAGGCAGGGGAGCTCTCCTGTGCGCCTGCGGCTTACCCAGAGCTGGCTTTCCAACTGGAAACCTGGCCGAGTGTTTTGTCCTTCCGGGCTTTGTGTCCAGTGAGGAGGTGGTATGAGGGGTTTTGTAATTTGTGCGGATGCAGCGTTGATAATGTTCGCCCGTCTTGTAGGCTGGACAGTTACAGTTCTTTATGTAACCTTTTCTTCTGGTCCTTTTTGTGCATGTTCTGTAGCTAGAGTTGGAGCCAGAAAGGATGGAGGTAGCGGGAGAAGAAAATCTGCAGTGAGCCATGATGCCTGGCGTGTCTGGAGAGTTCTGTGTCATGATCTGTTTTGTGTGTTATTTACAGGAAGTGAATGTTGACTTTGAAGCTTATTCCATCTCATACAACGATTATGACGGGATTAAGAAATTACTGCAGCAGGTATTGCTTTTTACTCCTTACGCATAAACTTGCTCTTCTAAGAAAATCCAGGCCCGTCAGCACCAGCTCTGTGGGCATGCTCCTCTCTGCTTTAGAATTCCCTTCCCTCCTCCCTCCCCCGGCCCTGGTCCCGGCCCAGAAGGAAGAACTTCTCTCTGTGCTTCTGCCCCCAGCCCCTTCCTCCATGAACATAGTTGACTGTTCTTCCTCCTGCAACACTTCCCTCTGTTAGTTACTTGGGCCACTGTTCTGTCTTCTCCTGAGTCACATCCCAGCTTTCGCAGGGGAGGAATTCTCACGTAGAAGTCGTATCCCGGCAGCACCTGCTGCTTCTACATTTTCCTTTGCCCGTGGAGACGGCCTCAGTTCCCATTAGAGCCGTTAGTGTCCTAGTCGCCTTCCTGGTCAAATCATTGAAATGTCATGGTTTTTATTTGAATATGGAAGTTAGAAGTAATTTTAGATGTCGCACTCTGACTTTAATTTAAATTATTGTTTTTCTCTCAGCTTTTCCTCAAGGCACCTGTCAACACTGCCGAACTGACGAATCTCTTAATTCAGCAGAACCACATCGGGAGTGTGATTAAGGTAAGCGGCAGCTGCGCTCATTCTGATTCAATGGGCTCTTGATCCTGGGAAGTCCCTCCTGATGTATAGCAGCGGCCGGACGCGTCGGTCGGAACAGAGCAGGGAGACTGGGTCAGTAAGTGCCGCAGTGCGGGTGATGGCGGTGGAGAGGGAGAGGAGTGGGCTGATTCAGAAGGCATTTGGGAGATGAAATATGGTGGGCTGAGGGGGAGGGAAAAGGAGTCAGGCATGACTCCGAGGGTCTGGCTCAAGCAACCAGGACAGCGACATGGAGGGCGATAGGTTAGGAGGGGAACCCGCGTTTGGACTTGTACATTTCGAGTTTGATTTGCCTGTAATAATGCAAATGAGCTGTTGAGCAGCAGCTGGAGACTTGGGCGTTTTCAGCAACAGGAAGCCCACACGGGTCCCAGGGGAGGGCGCATAGACCCCACCTCTTGATGGGAGGAGGGTCTGGGTCACTGTCAGAGGAGGAGGGATGGGCGATGACCTTGTGGCCCTCTGTGCAAGGCACACTCTGTCACAAGACCTCCTATGCCGCTGTCAGTCTGCACACGGATGGTGCGTGCGCCACCTCGTAGGGCGGGAGGTGGACGGAATGAGTAGCTGGGTGTAAGGTGTTAGAGCTGTGGGACGTGGCCCGTGGCCGGCGCTCCGTGTGGACTGTCATGTGGTGTGGTCCTGTGCCCAGACCCTTTGCCCAGCTCACTGTTCGACTGCATTTCCTGCCGGGACGCTCCAGGCTGGACCCGGTGAGCAGGCCGGCCCTGGAGAGTAACGTGTGGTGCAGCTCAGCCAGGAGGTTCCGTGGGAGCCAAGCTCTTCATCCTTAGCTGTTTTCTGGATTTGCCTCTTTGTCTCTGCCTGAGAATAGGCGGCTCTCGGGCATCAGTCACCTTCTTAGGAGCCAGGCTGGCCCGCGCTCGGCAGCACAGGACTTGGTGAGGCGTGTGGACCCACGGAGAGACGAGCAGGGCCGGCTCCTGCCAAATCGTTCAGAAAACGGACTGAACAGTTTATGTCATGAGGCCTTGGCTGTTCTGGATTTGTAACATGTTGAGAATCTAGTAAAGAAAACCCTTATAAGTTAGGGCAGGAGAGGTCACACAGAATGTGAAGAAAGGTACGTAATCAAGGGAGGCACAGGATGCGCACTGCCGTTACCCATGATGCTTTTCTGGGTGACAGTGATAAAACAGTTTGTGTTTAGACAGAGTAATGAGGCCTAGATTTCAGGCTTGGTATCCTATTTCTTCCCAACCAAGTGTAAATTAAAGCTCCTTTTCTTTTTAAAATAGCAAACGGATGTTTCAGAAGATAGTGATGACGATGTGGATGAAGATGAGATTTTTGGTTTCATAAGTCTTCTCAATTTAACTGAACGAAAGGTGGGTCCCTGGGGGGCACTTGTGTGGTCACCCTTAGGCCAGACTGCTTGTGTAACACACATGAAGTGTTTCTGTCAGGCAGTGATAGTTGTTGTAAGGGCGTGCGCACTTGTGAAGTCTCACCGTAACCTGTTTTCAAGTGAAGGTATTTTTTTGTGTTTTTTTAAAAATATATTTTTATTCAGAGAGGGAGAGAGAGATAGAAACATCAATGATGAGAGAGTATCACTGATCAGCTGCCTCCTGCACACCTCACACTGGGGATCAAGCCCGCCACCTGGACATGTGCCCTGACCGGGAATCAAACTGTGACCTCCTGGTTCGTAGGTTGACATTCAAGCCCCGAGCCACTGTGGCCGGGCGGAGGTGTTTTGTTTTGACTGGTGTGTACCCAGTTCGAGTCCTCCCTCCTGTGTGTAGAGTCCCCGCCTGGCCAGGTTGACATGTGGCTGGTGCTGCCCCTGCAGCTGCTCTGTGATGGGCTGTGCTGCTCCCTGCAGGGGAGGGCGCTACTGACACCGACGGTCACGGGGTTTGCGCTCATCGCTCTTTCCTACTCACTGATGGTTCCAGTGGAAAGTAAGAACCAGCTGCCTCCCCTCTCATAGGGCGCAGGTGCACTCTGGTGTTAAATGGGCTTGCAGTGCCCTCCGCCATCTCCGAGGTGGACTAGCTCCTCCAGGGCCCTCTCACCACGGTCATGGGTGGTGGGTCACACCAGGCAGAGTTACCCTGAGAAGCGCACAGCAGTCAGCACTGAAGACGGCAGACTCTAGAGGCTGTGACAGAGCTGCCCTCCCTGTGAGGAGCTGGTGCGCAGTCAGGTTTCTGCCGGAAGCGATGGCCTGAGTGAGGCACGCCTCTCTGCTTTCAGGGGACCCAGTGTGCGGAGCAGATTAAAGAGCTGACCCTGAGCGGCTGCGCCAAGAACTGTGAGAAGAGCGTGGTCGAGCAGCTGGACAAGCTCTTCAATGACCCCTCCCGGCCCGTGGGCCTGCTCCTGAGCGAGCGGTTCATCAACGTGCCTGCGCAGATCGCGCTGCCCATGCACCGGCAGCTCCAGTAAGCGCCTGAGCCGGGCAGGCTTCCCGGGGGTCAGAACCGGGACTCCGGAGGGCATGAGTCCCGCCCAGGGGGTGGGCTGGGAGCACTTGTCCGAGAGCTGCACGCGGTCCTCTCTATCGACTTTTCAGTTTTAATCACTAAAGCTATTCTGACGAGTCCGTAACCTTAAAGATTCAGTGGTATTAAAGTAGGTGAGTCTCATGTAGACTCTTCACTCCTATTTGACTAGTTTTTCACCTTCCCAGGTAGATTAACATGAAAAATACTGAATAATTACAACAGTAACAAAAACTGAGTAAAATTTCTAAATTTCACTGGAATGTTTTATGACTAAGGAAACCATAGTCTTCATACCGTATTTCTGGCTTCTCAGGGTTTTGTTTTTAAACGCAGTTTTAAGTTTATGAGAACATCTTACATGTAAGAAGAACTAAGAATCGGTATTGCCTGTGCTTTAATAGAGGACGACGAGAACGTGGACAGGCCCCCTGCCCTCCCAGCCCCGTGTTCCTGAGGTCTCAGCACTCCTGGTTTCCTTAGTGGGAATGTGCGAATATAACCGGAGGATGGAAACTCCCCCCCCCCCCCCCCCCTCCAGCTCCTAGTAGGTTTTGTTTGTCTTTTCCTGATCAGCTGGAGCTCATGCTTAATCTGATTTCCCCGGGGGTGGCCGCCTTCTGATCCCCCGTAAAGGCAGCTGAGTGGGCTGTTCTGCGTTTCCTTATGTTTTGTTTGCTGGATGCACAGGATGATGCCTGCTTTTCAGGAAGGAAATGGAGGTTTCCTTGCTGTTGCGCTGACTGCAGAGTTAGGGTGTCTGCGCTTTGCTGTGTGATTTCTGCAGCGCGGGAGAAATGAGTCCTGGACTCACGATTGGAGACTGGAGCTGTCACGTGCTCCCATGGCATTGGGTGTGGCCGTGTGCCTTTGTGTGTTTCAATTCCATGTTTGCTGTTTTAAATCTCCAGGTTCTCAGTGTTTTTAACTTGTGCACAGAGCAGGGATGTTGAGGAATCTGTGAGATCCGTCACCCTGTTCTTTATGAAAAGCCCTGTTAGAACAATCGGAAGTGCAGACGGCAGAGCTGAAACTCACTGCTGTGCAAGTGTCAGACCTATGTCTGCGCAGGAAGCCGAGTCCCAGCAGGAGCCCGGCCAGGCCTCCCTGCTTTCCCAGGGCCTGGGGTGTGGCTGGGCTGGTGTCACCGGCCCCGCAGCAGACCCCTGTGTGTCTTGTAGGAAAGAACTGGCGGAGGCACACAAGACCAACAAGCCGTGTGGGAAGTGTCACTTCTACCTTCTGATCAGCAAGACGTTTGCGGAAGCAGGAAAAGACAATTCCAAAAAGAAGCAGAGCAGCCAAAAGAACGATGAGTTAATGTTTGCGAATGCAGAGGAAGAATTTTTCTACGAGGTAAGACGGTCTTCCATGTATTTGTTTAGATGGAACCTCCGGTTCTCACTTCGGTTCTCAACCAGCAGCCCTTTCATGCTGATGTGACCAGTTGTGCGTCTCTCAGGTGACGAGAGAGTGAGCGAGTCAGTTTACTGCTAAACCTCACCTTGTTAACATCTCAGGAAGTTGTGCTGGGAATATTTTTGGGTTTTTTTACTTTTGCTGATTTGGTTTTCAAACAAGTCGTTTCTTGAACAGCCTTCCGGAATGAATTAAGTTCGAGAACCAAGGTTCCCCGGTATATAGGGATTTTTCTTGACAATAAGTCAGGACTCTCCCATTTTGTACCAGTCTTCCGAGTGTGGCCGCTCTGTTTTCCTCCTTGTCCCCAGCTGCTAGCAGCTCACAGTGCCTGGCGCGCACTAGGTTTTCACAGGTCATCACCGCCCCAGCCCCACTGTTGGTGACGAGTGTGGGAGGAGACAGTCACGAACCTGCTGGTAGTGATCGGGCTGATGGTGTGCTGCGAGAGCTGCGGCTCCCAAACCCCTCGGGAGGAAGGATGAGCCTGGGTTCAAGGTGGACATTGAGTCTGAGGGACAGCCCTCAGCTGAGGTCCCAGCCGTCGGGTGGACCCCTGCCCCTCCTGTCTGGCTCCCGGGCCGCTCTGCCCCTCATCCTGGATGTCATCCCGTTAGTGGGCTTCTGGCACTTTCCTTCCTGTAAAGGTAGCTGGTGCGCGATGGCCAGCCAGAGAGAGAATACCCTCCCCGTGCAGCCCTCCCCAGAAGTGAACCTCCGAGGAGGGGCCTCTCCTGGCGTGGCCGCCGTCAAGACTGGCAGCGCTGGGCCTTTTCAGGAAGGAGACAGTGGGAATGAAATTTTGAGGCTCTGCCCTGCATCTCAGGGTGCGTGTGGGTTTGAACACGGCTGGTTCTGCAAGCTTACCTTCGTCCACAGCAGCTCTCTGCCAAGGAGGAGCTGGGGCGGCGGGAAGGCCTGCATTTGCAGGGTCTTCTTGTTAGATGTCCAGTGTTGTGCCTGTTACTGTCCCTCTGTCACAAGGTTGTGAGTAGGAGTGACTTGAGAGAGGTAGACAGAGTGTAAGTGGGCGGTAGCTCAGTGTCACCGGCTGCTGGCTCACCTCCTGGAGGTGCCTTCTGCCAAGTGTCCTTCGGGCTTCCTTCAGCTCCCGTTCCTATGGAAACGTGTCAAACAATATTTGCTGCCGATTGAGTGCGTGTTGCTTATTCACGGTGTTTGTGTGGTTCAGAAGGCAGTCCTGACGTTCAGCTACTCAGTGCAGGAGGAGAGCGACTCGTGTCTGGGCGGCAGGTGGTCCTTCGACGACGTCCCGATGAAGCCCCTGCGCACCGTCATGCTGGTCCCGTGTGACAGGATGGGCGAGATCATGGCGGCGCTGGAGGAACATCTGTCTGTCTAGCCGCTTCCCACCGAGAGGGCGTGCTGTGTTTGTAAAATCACCAGAAAACCCAGTGGAGTTTTACTGAAAAACTCGAGACTTTATTTAGCTTTAGCTTCTCTACACAAAGTAGGGTTCTGTCGCCTGTGTCTGTGACACATTTACAAAATAGTGTTTAAAAAATTTTTGGTCAAATTATGTACGTTTGATTAAAAACCTTCCCCATAAGAAAAACGTGGAGCAGTTATTGAAAGAACTCAATAAAAACGTCTATATTTTATTTTTAAATAATATACAAAGTATTAGTTTGTTTCAAGACTCCTGTGTAGCTCAGAGGCGGTCCTCCCGTGAGTCGCTGCCCGGCGCCGGCCCCACAGGCCGACTGGGGGTTCGTGGCGCTCTGGGAGCTCCTGAGGCGTCACTGCAGGGCGCACCGTTGTTCAGTAGTTTCAGGGCACTTCTCGCAGGGCGTCTGCTCTCCTTTCGTGGCGGGGGCGGGGGCCAGGCGGTCCATGGCTTGCTGCAGGATGTCCTTGCTCTCGCTGGGGGGCAGGTTGCTGAAGTAGTACTGGGGCGCCAGCTGCACAAACCTGTGTTAAGAAATAGTGTTTCTGGTGGGAGAGCGAGCGTGCCCGAGCCCTTCCCCGCCTGCAGAATCCATAGGCTGGCATAACGTGGGCTCCTCCGAGCCTTAGCCCGCTCGCTGTAGGGTGGCCCTGGCTGTTGTTTTTACGGAACCAACCCCCTAGCATTTCTAGGGCTGCTGGCTCTCAGTGTTAGGCCACCACTCTGACCCTGGG